GGTCCTTTTCGCTGTAAGATTGATTTCTGTTGGAATTGAATTCGCTTATTGTATAGGTTAATGACATGAAAATCTCTCAAAATTTTGGTTCTTTTTTTCTCCGTAGAGTATGCGGATTCAGAAGATGTTTCATTGTTCACGATTTAATTTCTGAGTAAATCAGATTTCTGTGTGGCGTAAACTTACAGGTACAAAGCTGAGCTGAAAGATGAACACACAGGAGGTGAGAACACCTCGAGGAAATCGACGGAGGAAAGCCGTGATTGATCTGAATGCGGAACCCGGTGATCAAGAAGGGACCTCGGCTCCTGTTAGAGCTCCTAGGGTTCCTACGGGTAACCTTCAAGGGGAGTCTGTACCTGCTCAGTTCCCCCCTACCATGATTGATGTCGATGCTATCGAAGATGATGTTATCGAATCATCTGCAAGTGCTTTTGCTGAAGTATGCTCCCTGTTATCTTCTAGTTTCCCGTTTTGCAGTCTGGGATAGGCTGTGTTTGGGTTAAAGACTCAACAATTTTGTTTCTTTTTTTATACCAGGCTAAAAGCAAATCGACAGGTGCACGTCGGAGGCCTTTGATGGTTGATGTAGAGTCAGGTGAGTTTATCTATAGTGGAGGATATGAAAAGAAACTATACTCTTGTGGTGCAGTATCAGCTCTCAAGATATAGGAGGAGTTTGATGGTTGAATTTAGGTTGTGTTTGTTTCTATTATGATGGTTGGTAGCTTATAATTTTTCTCTTACTTGGAGTGGTCAATGCAGGAGGTATCACTAGATTACCTGCCAACGTAAGCAACAAACGCAGAAGGGTTCCTTCTAATCAACCTGTCATTGACTGTGAGCATGCCCCTGTAAATGTTGTTGAACTCAACATGTCACCGGTAGGAGACACGTAAATTTCTAAAAGCATGTATCATGCAGTTATGCTATTTAGTTTGACTCCACCACTTCCTTTTTTCTTGTGCAGAGACTGTCTAGGTCAAAGGCTCCAGCACCTCCACCAGAGGAGCCAAAATTTACTTGTCCAATCTGTATGTGCCCGTTTACTGAGGAGATGTCAACCAAGTGCGGTCACATCTTCTGCAAGGGATGTATAAAGATGGCAATATCTCGACAGGCAAAATGTCCTACTTGTAGGAAAAAGGTAACCGCAAAAGAGCTGATTCGGGTATTCCTTCCAGCCACCAGATGAATAGTACAGCAACATCACCAGCCACCATGTAAGTCGAACTAATGATAGTTTTTTTCATCTACTATTTTACAAATTATTTGACTTGAATAACTTCTTTGATCAAGTCAATGGAATTTTTGTTTTGGTTCCCATTCTCACAGGTCTTGTGATTTGTCAGACTATATTCTCGAATTCGCTTTGGAACATTGAAGGGACTTCAAATCGACTTGTATTTTAGCTTGAATATTTCGCTTTGTTGGAAGAGAAATATTCAGTGATCAAAAAAGGCCCTATCATTTAATGGATATCATTGGTAATATTAAATTTCTAAGTAACTCTTTGTTTCTTAATGTAATTTAGGTCTCTGCAAACCTCTCAGTGGATGCCCATCTCTCTTATAGATGAAAAAATATATATATGGAAAAATGTTATTACTGGATTTTGTTGCATCTTGATCATGTGTGTATGCCAGTTCTCATTTCACAATGCTGATAAATGTGTTTAAGTATCTGTGCATGACCAAATAGTGGGAATTAGAAGGGGGAATATATAAGAACTCCATGCACTGGGACTAGAGTGCAATGGTAGCAGAAGATAGATTAGAGAAGCTAATAGACATGGGTTTCAGTCGATGCTCTATTGCGCTGCCTTATTTATTCACCATCTCACGGTCACCTTGTGTTGGTATGCATCGTCGCCTAGTTATGGAAGCACGGCGGATGGGATCACCTTGTGTTTGTTGAGGGCAGCTTTGAGAGGAAAATGACCAAACCATCCTCCATAAAAGGACCAGCCGTAATGGGGAAAAGCACTCCACAGTTGCTGGTTGTTGGGGAGAACCTCGCTGGGCTTCCCAGGTAAATACCTCCCTCCTTGAGCGCCAGATAGTAGAAGTGGTGGTTGTTAAGTTTTGCTTGTTTGGGAGGGATGTTAAATGGTGTAAGCAGTATAGTTTTGATCCTTTTGGAGTAGTGGTTCTCCCAACTCAAATCCATCATGGTGCACAGAAGTATTGTGTGATTTGGATTTTTCTATTGGTAGATAATTACCACAAAACCATAGTCTTAACAAAAGCATTTCAAGAAGTCTTGGATAGTCTAGTCATTGGGGGTATTGCACTGTGTTGGTGATAATGAGCGTAGTCTACCGACTCTGGTGATAATGAGCATGATTCTGGTGACATGTCAATGATGTCATATATTAGGAAGATGGAGATTTGCTTTTGGGTTAAAACTAAATGTCTTGTGGTTTTCATCATGTATCCATGTGTTGGTCGGGTTTTGGTCTCTTCATCACTTGAGTGATGAGACTTTTCACTCAGCCATTACTCAACAGTATTGCTGTTGATGCAGTCTCAGCCTCTGGAATTTGATATTATCTTCCACAGCCAAGAACAGAGCTCTCAAGGTTATCAATTCCTTTAGATAACAAGTTGGAGACTAGAGCAGTGGAGCTTAGACTCGACCTTGTTTAGTCAGATCATTTTTGTGGATAATCTCGAAAGTGTACAACTCTTATTTGCAGCATTACAACTTACCAAAATCCTGAATTATATATATCACCGGCAAAAACGTAATTATGTTTCGGATATGGATATTTCGAATAAAATGCTTCCGAATAAATATACAAATTAACCGACCGGTTAAGTAGTAGACCTTGGATACTCTAAACTAATCCTTTTATCCAAACACTTGTCATTCGTCTCCGATCAAACACTCGGCGGCTCTTTTTGTTCTCTAGATTTCTGTGAAAGCTCTCATATTCTTCGCCGGAGAATGGAGACAGCCGACGTGGAGGTGGGGTTTGCGAAGCTTCAGGGCGAGGATTTTGAGTATTACATGCAGACATACTCCATCATGCTTGGCCGTAATTCTAAGAAATCCACCGTCGACGTTGACCTCTCGTCCCTCGGCGGTGGGATGAACATCTCGCGTAACCACGCTCGGATCTTTTACGATTTCACGCGCCGCCGATTCGCCCTCGAGGTCCTCGGCAAAAACGGCTGCCTCGTCGAAGGCGTCCTCCATCTTCCCGGAAACCCTACCGTTAAGCTCGACTCGCAAGACCTCCTCCAGATTGGAGACAAGGAATTTTACTTTTTGCTTCCTGTCCGGAGCCTCCTTGGCGGACCGGTGGGACCCAGGCACGTCGTCTCAGGGCATACTAGCGCCGGGCCACTCGTTCCATACCACCAATACCATTCGGGGCCGGGTTCTGGGTCAGGCAAGAAAGGTGGGCGAGGAAGAGAGTACTT